AATCCCAGAAACACAAAATCCCAGAATCACAGAACCACAGAAACACAAAATGCCAGAATCACACAATCACAGAACCACTGAATTCACAGAATCCCAGAACCAGAGAATCACAGAATTACAGAATCCCAGAGTCCCAGAATCAATCACAGAATTCCAGAATCACAGAATCCCAGAACCCTAGAATCACAGAATTACAGAATACCAGAGTCCCAGAATCAATCCCAGAATCCCAGGATCACTGAACCCCAGAATCAAAGAACCACTGAATCACAGACGCACAGAAACACAAAATCCCAGAATCACAGAATAATGAGCTTGGGAGAAACCTCATCATGTCCAACCTATACCCTGACACCTCAACTGGGTCCAGTCTTTTTTACCACACATCCAGAGATGGTGATTGTACCACCTCCCTGGGAAGAACATTCCAGTACTTTATTATTCTTTTGGTGAAAAAATTTCTTCCTAATACCCAACCTACACCTGCCCTGATGTAGGGAGGTATATGCATATGTAGCTTGAGACTGTGTCCTGTGGTTCTGTCAGAGACCAACCCCACCTGGCTCCAACCTCCCTCCAGGAAGGTGCAGAGAGCAAAAACACCTCTGAGCCTCCTCTTCTCCAGGTTTTGTTCTGGTTTATGCCAAGAGGAGACTCCAAGGACAGCAGAGTCCTGAGGAGGTGCCTGCACACTGCTAAAGCATCCCCAGCATCCATCCCCAGCCAGGCAGCACCTGCTATCAGACCCAGACCTGCTGCAGCATTCCTTCTGACTGCCAAGAGGAAAGCAGGACCTGATAAATCTCACTGTGAGTTTTTTTCTTCCAAAGCTGCAAGGACTCGTTTTCCTCCACAGAAAATACAAAACTCACATGTTCACAAAATCACAGAATAGTTGGAAGGGCCCTCTGGAGATCATCCAGTCCAAACCCCTGCTAAAACCCAGAAAGTGATGCTGTTATTTGGATATTTTCACACATAAACCACACCTGTCATGTTTTGTCAATTCACCTCTTGTGAATCATTGAGGCTGATGGAACAGGAAGCCAAATCACGTGGTGGCAATGACTGAGGAGCACTGCTGACAGCTGGTACTGAGAAAAGCTGAAACATTAAGTGCTAAGGCAAAGATGTTCCTCATCCACGACAACTGAACTCATTTCATTTCCTAATGCTGAGCAAGAGATTATGAAACAGCACTGGATGTTCAAAAATCTCCAACAGACACAGATACACATCCCATGCACATGCACAGAGATGGAATTTCTGGCACTCAGGTGCTGCCAGAGCAGTGTTAAGAAATGTCACAACTCTGGGTACCACAAATTTCCATTTCTTCATCTTTAAGATGGGGATCCCTGCTCCACAAAGCACCCAAGCTTTCCTGTACCAGCTGCTGGGCACCAAAGTGTGGGAATCCACAAAATTAGAAGGTTTTGGGAAAGCTGCAAAAGGCAGGCCCAGAGGCAGCAGAACTGTGATTAGAGCTAAGCAGCAGCCATGAGAAAGGTCAGAAGAAAAATTATTTAAACTGCAGAAAAGCAAAGACAAACAGAACAATGATCTTGTATTAATGATCAGTGTATTAATGCTTGTCTAGAATAACTCTCTAAGGTACAGAAAAGTTTATCTAGCAAGATATCAGGAAGTTTTAAGCTTAATAATGGAGCTCTGTGCATTGTGTTTTAAGGCTTACAAGTGGGTATTGTATTTGAAATAAGCATTGCTTTAACTAAAGGGATGTGTGCTTATAGTGGTTGGATAGAACTGCTGTCAGTGTGCTTTTGCTTTGTGTGATTGGTCAAAAAACTTATAAAGTGAGTTGTAACATTAAATTCTTAGTCTGCTGTGTGGGATGTGAGCTGCTGGCATCTTCCCATTGTCATCACCATGGAATGAGGCTGATGCTGGAAAATCAAACAGCTCAAGGCACGTTCTGCAGCAACCCTGTGTCATTCCTGATTTGTTCAGAGCCCCCTGCCAGCATCACCAAAATCTCTCTGAGCCCAGAGCTCAGCACCCAAAGAGGGCAGAGAGGTGCAGAACACCTGCAGAGCTGCAGTTCCTGCTGAGCAGGGCAGGGCACACTCCCCAGAGCCCCAGCAGAGTGGGTGGAACCACGGCTGACTCCAAACCAAACATTCACCACCACGGGCCTGCCAGTAAAATGAAGTTTGAATACTGACAGGAAGAATTATGATGTCAAAGGAGCTCTGAAGATAAACAGGGAACTGACATGATGAATCACAGCTCCTACACATTCTCCTGACAGGAAACACAAGCACAAAGCTCTGCCTGCATCTCCACACACCAGAGGTGGACATTACACCTGGGACACAGGGACAGGCAGCAGCTCCAGCAGGAGGAGCTGAATGCTGTGGTGTCACAGACACATTTCATGAAAAATCCCTTCCCTTAGGATTTTTTCTCCTGAGAAGCTGAAAAGCCTCAGGAACAAAAGGCAAACAATGGTTATCTGCTGCTGTGGAATGCAACAGGTGCATCTGGGATTGGCCTCATGTGGTTGTTTCTAATTAATGGCCAATCACATCAGACTCTCTGTCCAAGCCACAAGCCTTCATTATCATTCTTTCTTTTTCTATCCTTAGCCAGCCTTCTGATGAAATCCTTGCTTCTATTCTTTTAGTATAGTTTTAACAGAATATACAACATAAAATAATAAATCAGCCTTCTGAAACATGGACTCAGATCCTCATCTCTTCCCTCATCCTCAGACCCCTGTGAACATCATCACACTGTGGTTCTAAACAATTTTTAAAATTAACTAAGGAAGTTTGATAGCTTGCAGAGGGTTTTTCTGGACATGTCAAAAAAACACTGAATAAATCTTCTATATTTCTGCAGCCACAAGAGGAAATCAACCTCAGGCCTGGCCAGACAGACCCTTCAGAGCTCCTGGCTGTGCCAGGGTAAGCTGCTGTCCTGGAACACACAGCCCTGCCCATTCCACCTGCTCCCCATGACCTCTATTTATTTGCTGGAAGCTTTTATTCTCTTCAGAAAGGAGCTGCATTCTCTCTCTCATCAAACCCAGAAATACCAATTTTCTTCTCCTATTAAAGAGGACTGCATTGGGAAGCTCAAACCTCAGAAGTAATATTCCCATTTTTGACAAAGGCAGGGAACAGTGAGCGAGCTGCCACCACGGCAGCCTCAGCACAGCACCCAAGGGTGCCTGGGTGAGATGGATCCCCCCCTGTGATGGTGCTGCAGCACAGAAACCCAAACAGCTCCCAGCAGCTCCTCCTGCATCAGCCAGGGCTGGAAATCAACCAGGGTGTCACCATTGTATTTTCTGAAAAATCCTCTTTGCCCACGATTTCTCTTCTGGGGAGCTGAGAAGCCTCACAGAAAAAGGAAAATAATATGATCTCATTTTTTCTCCTGTGTTGTTTTGCTGCTTTGGAATGTGGTTTGGAGATTGTTTCATGTGAATTGTTTTTACTTATTGGCCAACCAGGGGCCAAGCTGTGTCACACTCTGGGAGATAATCACAAGTTTTTCATTCATATCTTTTAGCCTTCTGTCTNCACAGAAACACAGTCACAGAAACACAGAACCACAGAACAGAATCACAGAATCCCAGAAT